ACAGTGTGCTCTGACATCAGCCATCTTAAATAGGATCTGGCCAGACACGTGGTGGCGCAAGTGCTCCAGGCCTTGCGCCACTGCGAGAAACATAATGTGCTTCATCGAGACCTGAAACCAGAAAACCTCCTCATCCAAATACAGTCTCTACAGGTAAAACTGATAGATTTTAGCTGTGGAGACATTTGGAGGGATTCGGTGTACACCGAATTTGCAGGTTAGTGAGAGAGGCTGATTAAAAGTCTGTTAAATTAACCCAGGTTTTAGTAGCAGGTAGTGGGTAACCTAGTGATCAAGAAGTCTGGATTTGTGATCAGACTCCCAGTATGGGAGCTGGATTTGTATTCTGGGGTCCTAACCTGACTCACTTCAGTAAAAATACCCAGCTGTATGAAAAATTTCCACCTTGTTCTTCCAGGGACAGAGGACTACACTCCCCCAGAGTGGTTCCTTAGCCAGAAATACCGAGCTGGCCCCTGCATGGTGTGGTCTCTGGGGGTGACATTATTCCAGCTGGTGTGTGGCTACCTGCCCTTCCCCAGCAATTCGAGGCCACATTAAATTTCCTCCTTCAGTCTCTCCTGGTGAGCAGCTTACTTTATTCCCGTGACTCGAGTCCCCCAAAAGGGAGTCTTGCATTATGACTAACTATGTGACTCTGACAATGTATTCTCTCACAGACTGCCGCAACCTAATTAGGCAGTGCTTGAAGCGGAAGGCAGCAGATCGCCTTACCATGGAGCAGATCGAGCTGCATCCTTGGCTTCAGCACTGCTGACCAGGGTCTCTGCCTCTAGAAAGGTTCACTAATCTTTCATTTAAAAATAATAGGAAAACAAAACATACAGATGATGTAGCAGCTGCATTACATCAAGGTAGCTCATAACCCTCGCCGACCGTTCGTAAAGGAACCATTGTTGTTCTTTGCTTTAGAAACTTAACATCCTTTGAGGCAAGGCAGTGGAAGGCACTGATCAGTCTTGGGGCAGGTAAGAGAAAATGGACATTGTCTCTCACTCCTGTGTCCACCATGAGAGGGTACACAGAGACAGATGGCATAAACATCACAGTGTGCTCTGACATCAGCCATCTTAAATAATGCTGATCTGTCACTGAAATAAAGATGTACATGCCACTTTACAATAAGGCTCCCTTTTGCTACTTGTAAATGGTATTAACTCATTAATAAAAAGAAAAGTGTGTTATACAAGGGGGTACTGAGAAGTTCCTGACTTTGCCCCCTTCCAGTTGAAATAGAAAAATGAGTGTGGGGGCATATGTCAGGGTAATATCTTAGTATGTAACTGTGCAAATATCAGGTCTTTGCAATTCATAAAACTGTTTTCTTTTTTAGTGAGAAGCTGTGATGGCAGAGGCACAAGCAAGTTTCACGTCGTGGGAGTTACGGGCCATCAAGTTTTTGTTTCTCCGGCGAAAATCAGCAAAGGACATTCACACTGAGATGTCACAAACACGGGGGGAGAAGTGTCCTTCATACTGCACTGTCAAAACCTGGATATCGCGTTTCAAGACTGGGCATTTCACCGTTGAAGATGAGCCCCGCAGTGAGCGCCCCCCAACCTCAACTGACCCGGCAACCTATGATGCTGCCCATGAGCTCATTATTCAGAACTGGTGAAAAAAGATAGCCCAGATACTTGACTTGACATCTCACGGGAGCATGTTGGATTTGTTATCACCACTATCCTAGACATGCGAAAGCTTCAAATAAGCTTTTGAAAGCTGATGAATAAAATAAATCATAATATATCAATAAATAAAAATGTGTCTCACCAAACATGTCAGTATTTTGTTGTAATTTTTGTAGATCTCATATCCAAGCACTATCGAACTGTCTTTGTGTTATCTGATTCAATTTTCTCATATAAGTAAAGCTACTGTACACCTTGCAAGCACTCGTATGAAATATCTGTACTATTATGGAAACGTCACACTGGTTGCCACTCTACAACAAGAGTGGGGACACAGTCATGTGTGTAGAGGGTGTAAAGGAGTGGGCTGAGCACACCTGGTGTTGAGACTGAGAGCAGGAGAGGTGTGGGAACCGAGTCTGACCCTCTGGGAGCGACCTGACAGAAAGTCCAGTATCCAACTGCAGGTAGGTGATGGAAGTCCCAAGTCTGCCAGTTTAGACACCAGTCGTTGTGGGAGGATGGTATTAAACGCCGAGCTGAAGTCCACAAAAAGCAGTCTGGCACAGCTCCCCTGCTGCTCCAGATGGGTCAGGGCAGCGTGAAGGGCTACTTATATTGTGGTACAAGGAAAACAATCCTAATCTTAATATATGTGTAACACTGATATGAGGTCCTGTTGAAGGTGAGGCCATTTCATCATGTCATATCAAAGTTTATTAAGCCAAATAAGCACAAACCATAGGTATACCATGCACATGTTCTGCTGAGCCACACACAGTAAACTGTAAGCTTGAGGTGAAAGCAACTGGACTCATATAACCTATAGTCAGATTTTCACCATGTCATTCAATGGGTTGTTAGGGTCAAACAAAGCAAGGTACATTTGAGATCGGCGGCCCCATGACAGCCGACATGAGACCACCCCCCACACCACCGATCACCGTCTACACCCAAAGCAATAACACCAAGAAGAGCCCAACGTTCGGCACCTACACTGCTTCATCTACACTCCACTTCACGCTCAACCGAGAAGTCAAACAGGAGAGAAGCCCGCCACTCGAGTTCGCGGCGACATATTCCACGGCGCTAGACATCCTCTCCACTCCCCACTGCATGTGACAATCACCCAAAACACCCCACCACACATCCGCACCACCCAGCACCCCCCATCCCTCACATCAATCAAACAAAAGGCCCTCCAGCAATACACACCCTCCCCGAAGCTCCCGCCAAAACATTGCCAAAATATCGTCCTTAAGGCTGTGGTACCAACACAGGTGGAGCGCACGCAGCAGTGGAGATGTTAAAGGTACAGCTTGCAAGCCAACAATTACATGACAATTTTCCTCAACATTTTCAGAGATTTTCACAGTAACTTCAAACTAGATAAAGTTCAGATTAGATAAAGAGAAGTTAAACAAATGGCATAAAAGAGAAAAATGTTCCATTTATTGATTTATTTATTGGGGAAATTTATCCAATGTTACATATTTGACTGTGGGAAAAAAACAGTGACTCATTGTTGTCAATAACTGGTGGCACCCAGTTAGGTGACAGTAACCTCAGCAATACATTTCGAGGTCATATTTATGCAAAAACAGAGAAAAAATTAAGAATCATTTGTAGAACACATTTAAAACAACAGAGGTTGGCCAAAGTACTTGCACAAAGAGAAACTAATATTATTTTTCCTGTAACCACTGGAAACCGCATTTAGTGATCATGTCTGTCAGTGTAAAAATTATCGCCATAAGCAGGTGATCATTATAACCGATTTTTAAAATTTGTCTTTATATCTCAGCCACAATACCACTGTAGTGGAGACTACGATAGGGGTCACTCTCCCAGGGCGCTGGGTCTGATTCAAGTTGTGCATATTCCGCAGAGTCGGCTAGAACACCACTTCAGGATCCTGGAGAATCTTTATTGCTTAACTCAGGCGCAACATCCCTTATCCAGTTCTCGCGCTCATGACACAGGGGTTTTCTACAGGTGTGTGTGGTCTAAAGTAAACAGAGGATCGTTAGAGTGCACTCGCAGCGAACTACTCATAACACTCTCAGTTTTCAAATCACAAATGAAACATAGCGACCTTTCTCTTCACATCACAATCCATATCCACGACAGATTACTTATATAGACACAGCACTGCACC